CCTCAGATCACATGCTTCCCCTTGTTCTGTTCCATATCGCCTACATTTTTGCTCATTAGTTCTACTAAATCTCTTTCTCCTGTCTTTTGTCTAACTTTATGGGCTACATGAAGAATGTGGCAACTTGAACTGCTGGACTTCTGTGCAAAATTCTATGGTGGAACTCAACCGGTCAGTCAAACATAAGCAAATCAATAAATCAATTAATAACTGATAAACGAGAAAAAGTGGAATGACTCTTTGATTATAACTTCAACATAATCGGTATTTCATTACTACTTGTTCCCTGAAACCTGATTAGTGACTGACTCTACAGGACAGAATTGCCTGGATCTCTAGTGAGAAGTCGTGACCAGTGGCGTCCACCATGTTAGGTGTAAGGACAAAAACTCGTTAATGACATTGCCTGGTGCTATGGCAGATATCCTAACTGACAGTCCATTAGATTCCGTCCTTAATGGCTGATTGGTCAACGGGCTCACCTTTTAACTTGAAGGTCCTGGGGTACCTACTGTCTGATGGTTACAAACCGGGACGAAACAACTGTCCAGAACTCTCAGGACCTCAATAACTCTCTAACTGAAGTCAATTCATAATCAGACTTGATATTCCAGGCGATTCCAAGATGCAACGTAGCATTCGATATTAGCACAGTAAAGTGATCGATAATGACAATACAAATGACGGACAAAGAAGTGAACTGTGAAGTTCCCCTGACAATTTTAATATTTAATTATTGGTGAGTTTTTTTTCAAAGCAAAATGAAGTGAACTGGAAAACTGATTAAAACAAACAAAAACAAAACAGAGTTCGCAGAATTTGCACCCCGGACACCATAGAAAATGAACTGGACAATCTCAAGAGAATCCTCGTCGAGAATTGTTATCCAGAAAGATTTATTGCAAAATCCATGAATCCTAGACCACAAAAGCCGCCTATGCTTAGCGTCCCCAAAAAAACTACTCTAAATGAACCTTCAATTCAATGGAGATATATCTGCGGAAACACTAAAAAATCGACTGTCGCGCTCACCTAAGAAGACCTTCGCAGCTGAACTACGACTAACCTTCTCCACAAAACCTATGATTCATGTGAACGTGAAGGATAAGCTACCACTGATGGCCTCATCAATGTGTATTTATCAGTTCACCTGCTCGTGTGGAGCCAGGTATGTCAGACGTACCCAGCGTTCGCTTTCCAAACGTATCACCGAACACTTACCAACATGGTTTTACAAAGGAGAAAATCGATGCCCTTGCAGCTCCATCTTAGAACATCGGATAGAATCCGGACACCAAGTTACACCGCAAGCAAACTTCAAAGTCGTCTACAGAGTAAGAAGCAGTCTTCCTAAAGGTGTACGAATCAGACTACTTCAAACTGCAGAAGCAATGGCGATTCACTTGCTAAATCCTGAACTCTGCATACAGAAGTTCGTTCAATCACTACACTTGCAATGGACGTAATCGGTCTTATTACCCGACAAGTAAATTCTACCTAATCTACTTTTTCTGTCTCTTCATTAGTATTGTTTTGTCTTCTCAATTGTAATATTTTACATTTTCAACTTTCTAGTTCTGTACCCTCACCCGATTCAATTTCTACACTTCATTACCACTGTTACTGACTTGAACAGCGCTCAATTTCTAGTCATTTATGTTACGTCATCCAACTTACTAACTCAATATTACTTTAGTTGCTGTCTGATTAACTTCGTTTCTATATTACATCATTCTTGTATTAACTAATCAATTATCTAAACTTGACAAACCTCATGTACACACACACACACACAAATAATTATATATAAATGCGATTGTACAGCTATGTGAATGAATTCGCTGTCGAAAAGAGTCTCTTCGCTGAACGTCTTCTCTTTTTCATATGACTCAATGGGGATTTTCAAGCTACTAAAACAATTGAATTACAACAACAGCAACCTAACTCCCAATTGTTAAAATTATCTTAGAAAGATATACTCTTGTGTATAACACAGAAGTTACGTGAGATAAAAATGTAACACTGAGTAGAAGCAAAATGTCCCTAAACTATGACCATTATATGCTTCTTTTAAAAAAACGTGCTATACGCACCTAAAACACACCAGCGCTTCGAACTACATTTCTTTCATTCCCTCTGCATTCTAAATGGAATACAATGGCTTCAACTTCGAACTCTGAAGTTCACTTACTTTACTTTACTTCGGCTATCTCCTACGGAAGGATGAGCCGGCTTCATGAACATCTCGAATCATCGCTGCCCAGGCGCGGTGATCTGATGAAGAGAGTTCATGAAGTTTCATGGGAATTTGGTATGAGTGATGTCCCCAGAATCGCTCGGCCTTTTGTTTGAGAGTGCAGCTCTAGCCCTTACACAACCAAGTGTGACCTACAAGGCAGTAGGAGTGGAGTAGGGAGTCCACTATCCATTGGCAGCCGGTGACCGGAGTTCGGTTCATACGCCCTTTTGAATGGGGCCAGACATCCAACAAGCCCTTTGTCCATACGTCTGCCGGTGAGCTCCAGTGAGCTTCATACGCCAGTCGTTGGAGGTTTGGAATCAGGGTTTAGCCATCTCCCCTAGACTGTCGTCCAATGGACAGTCAACCCGGTGAAGAGCGCCGGGCATCCGCTTTCGCCCTCTCACTTTGGTGAAAAACACCTCCGCCACGTGAAGGCAGTGAGCAGGACTTCCTCAGGAGAGACTATGTAAGATGCCCGGTCATATGGGAGCATTTCAAGAGGTGTGCGGAGGGGTGGCCAACCCGCAGCGCAAGGCACCCACCCCCGACCATCCTGAGGCTTTGGAGGCAACTCTGAAGTTTCGGCAGCAGTGGTGGATATTTTTATAGGGTGAGGGTTGCTAGCCACACACAAACACACACACATCCAACCCTCCCTCTCTCTACGGATTCTACATTCAACTCTTAAGAGACATTTAGGAGCGCATCAGCCGGGAATCAAACTCAGATCAAATCAATGCTTGGTAAGCTTTCTACCACTGAACAGCCACCACTACCGACGTCAGTGGAATTCCTTGAACAAGAACAAACAATTGAAGTACTTTATATTGAGACGCACACACTGACAGAGAGATAGAAACAGAGGAAGGGAAAGAAAATAGATATTCTTTAAGAAAAAATATCAGTAATGAAAGCATAACAAGCTAATGATGAATAGGTAACATTATAATATGTACTATAGAGAAAAAAAAGGTGAAGTAGACGAAAATGAGGAATAACAAGAGAAATACAAAGATCAAAGCTAGTTCTGATTTAAAACATGGAGGAGGAGGAGAAGAAAAATAAAGGAGTATAGATACTGAATTCTTGATCACGTACGTGTACAAATTTATGCACAAGCTTACAATAGTATAAAGAAGGATGCTAGGCAAAATTGTATTGTTATTACCATCAACACCGTCATTACTCTTATTATTATCATCAATATGATCACCAAGTGAAATTTCACAAGTAACTTGTTAATAATGATGGATAGGCTGGGTTGAATGTAATCGCTTCGAAGTAAAATAAATTTCTGTTGGAAACAGACTGGTAAAGCACAAACCGGGCTTATATTACACACACGCACACAAGAACCGAACCAAACTGTGAGAAGACACTGATAACTCTAGAAAGTAGTCATGGCCTACAAATAGGATAAGATACAATTTTTTTTTGATCGAAAAAGACCAATTAGATAGATTATTGTCTATCTTCTGAAGCGATATTCTTCTTTTTCAAAAAGGAAAATTCTATGGTTTTGCTGGTTCTGGAGCATTTTGTGGTGGTAGATTCTCCTGAGATCGCATCACCTCTGGTAATTCAGGTGGATTTGAATAGGGTGTTATATCCAATATCTCGAATTTTTCAGTGGCTATAAAGGAAAACAAGTAGGAAAATCGATAAATAGGCAAAATAAGCAAATAAAACAAGTGATTAAAGTTGTACAGTTTCCCTAGATAAAGAATGCAAGACAATAGCGCTAGTCAAAACAGGTTGAAATGTGATGTTACCTATCTTGTTAACTCCTTCATACTATGATAGCTCGGGGCTCAAGGTTTGATTCCCGGCCGAAACACTCCTATACCTCCATTAGTCACTAATACATTGGGGGAAGAGGAAAGGTTGAGCACGAGGTTTACAGCACCACATCATGAAAAACCACAACCACTTCTCAAATTTCAAGCCTCAAGACTGAAGTCTTACATTCCACTCGGAATGCAAAGGGATGAAGGAAGAAACTACACTTAGAGATCAGAAAAATCCAGTAGAAATCCTATACCCCAATCAGAAATTCTCAGTTTTATAAAACAAAAGAATATAATTTCAATTACCAACTGTAAAGTTCAAGTCGAATAAATTAAATTATATTCATAGGTAATTGCTGTAAAAACAATGGGACAGTAAATATACAACAAATATTAAAGTCAAGAATAATGATATTCACAGGTTTCATGGTAAACACTATGGATAAGTACTTATTTAAGTGTAAGCGAACCGCTAAACATGAGTTGTTGGGAATTTTAGTAACTTATTAGAATACACTAAATTTGACCACCTTCATATTCCATACTTAAAAACAAGATGAAAAGGAGAAACGCAAAAGATTATAAGGAAGGAGTCTATAACCCGACCGACAGCTGCTACCTTGACGTGGTATAGTCAGGCTTGCATATTGCAATGACCCAACGAGCTACACTGATTGGAACTAATGTTCCTGCAGGTCCTACAGGGAAGTAACGACAGTAAAATGTTTACCTCAGATGACCAGCAAACCAAGTATGCTGCCTATCCAATTTGGAGATAGGGAGGGCGGGGTAAAACCAGTCCATGAAATCTTTGACAGTTAATTTAAGCCACATCAGGAGGTGTAGGGGCTTCATGGCTAGCGCCCTTGACGTGATAAGAACCAATGACTGGAGACAATTGGTGATATGACTGAGGATTGTTTTCAATGGCACAGATGCATTCACTCTTTGAAATCTTTCAAATCCAATAAACCCTCATGTTTTCCCATGCTACTATTATTTCTTCCTCATATTCCTGTTTATTACCATCCTTTAGAATCTCGTTTTTTTTCTTTAGTTTTCCTTTGTGTAGCAAATGGGGTGTGGCAACTTGAACTGCTGCACTTCAGTGCAAAGTTCTATGTTGCGATCACTCAGTCAAGGAGTCTATGCGCAAATCGCATACCATGATACAATCAACGAAATGAATCAACATAACTCAGTGTGCAATGCCACTTGATACGTAAACTGACTGTTACAAAAGGCAGCCGCTATAAGAGATGTTGAGAATTTGAAAATTTGTTTCACAGCTAGACATTTTTACATGACAGCGAAAATCCATAGATCGTAAAAGTCAAAATTAATGCTACTTAGATTGTTTCATAACAGTTTATTTAGATAGTAGATGTAAATACCTACGTATACTGCGGTTGTACATGGATGAATACTTTTTTATTTTTGGTGCACGATGACCATTTCTCATCAAATTTAAACAATACTAGATCTCAGAGTTTTAAGAAAATCGAAATTTGAATAATGACATGAGAAGACATTAACACTATACACAAAACTGAAAAATTAAATTACTATTCTGTGTGATGCACTTGGCTCGGACTAGTCAGAACAAAATGTAGCATCAATCCACAAAGTCTTCGATGATTGATCTGAACCATGTGAGGAAATACAGACTACCTGACAAAGATCCTGGAGATGCTACAAATTAATGGTTGAAGACTGTTGGCAAAATGGCCTATAAACTTCGCAATATTGTAGACGGATTTACTACATTTTGTCATCCACCTAACTACTCTCTCTATCTCTCTCCTGTAAATCTTCATCCATTGTTGTTTCATGGCATTCTTTTCCCCTACCTTTATAAGGTCCTTTCAGAAATGTTAACTACCTTAAGAAAACGCTAGCAAACTTATAAGTTGACAAGTTTGTATGGCATATACATAGCCGGGTAGCACAGCTTAAGTGAGCAGAACATATTACCAAATTAAAAATTGCTTAACTGTCTTCCAGAACAATTTCGATTAATTCGACCTAAGAAGAAGTTAGTGCTCAGAGCGAGTAGGTCAGAGTGATAAATAAGCCAATTCAATATACGTATCTCACAAAAACAAAGAACTGTGTGTTTATGAGGTGCAAAATGAAACATATATATACAGTCCACCTCTGCCAGAAGTCGCTTGACATGAAACAGTATTCGTATTACCACTGTTTGAATCGTTCATCTATATTTAGAAACACCAAATAATTTTAGTATGGGCAAGCATAAAGTGCCATAATTAATGATTAAAACTGGAATCATTATTGAATTGCCGTCTTATTGTCTATGTGTGAAAATTGAGACATCACATCTTTATGATTGTCAGTAACAAAATAGGACCATATGGCCTTTACTCTTATGTACACCATTTTGGGGGGACTAACGTCTCCTAACTCCTCTGGGCACACTCTACAACTGTCAATAGAGTAATGGGAACCGAATATAAATAAAGATGTATTCGGAAGGGACCGATCACACAGACCCTTAATAGGGTTTTGAAACTGTTTTGACCTCGAACTCACAGTTAGTTGTGTAACTTTCAGATCCAAAGGTTGTCTTCCACACTAACTGTCTGTTTATCTTGAGCATAGGCAGTTTTTAGACGTATAAACAAGGGAAAAATTAATGTCGGCTAATGATGAGTACCCAGCATGACACCACAACTAAACGACATTAAAACTTAAATGTTAAATCTGTGACTGTAGAGAAACCCTTTTGATTCTGCTGCTGATAATCTGACCCTCCTATTATGGAGCAACTTCAGTAACAGGTACCTCCGCCATTTCAGCATGTCTGTAATTATTTGAAAGTAGATAGGCGACCTTATCCATAAAATTATAACAGAGCCAAAAACGAATGAAAATAGAGTACATACCATAATTATGAACCATTTACGTGAAATTTAACAAACAGCTTCACCAACACTGTGTTTACAGTCAACCACATCTACAATTTTCAATTTAAGTACTATCTTCAATTAACTGTCACGATGTCAACTGGAAATCGTATTTAGTGACTGTGGACTGCGGTGGCGACAGCTATCTCTAAAATATTCGATATATACAGTCGTCAATAAAAACAGACGGAATAACTTCATGTTTATCTTGATTAAAAATACCACGATATAACAGTTTAGTCTGAGTAACATAGCCAATCCAAGCAACTAAAACCCCATAGTTTTTAAAAATAAATATTACAAAAGTTCCGCAACTAGTTGTTTTGGTTACAAAGTTGTAGAATAAAATCCAAATTGTAAGTCTGATTATGAATCTCGCTAAAAATAACTCAATATTGAGAGGATCCAGATAACACTTTTCAAATGAACAAAAAGATGTAAACCAGATTCACAATACTACGTTAACAACCAAAAGCTGTAATATTTACATCATCCGAAACTTGTCAACCACTCTTAATAAAAATTGTTATGGTGCATAAATGAAGACCCGCAGTATGTTCTCATTCTTCCAAGTATCAGAACCACAGAATATCCTCACTAAAAGTCACCGTGGCACGTACTTTACACTATTTTATCCTATGAAAATATCGATGGTCTTTATGTACTTCCCTTAGCACGAAAAACCAAGCATACTTAGTGATTAATACTTGCAAGTGACTGGTTATTCAAATACAATAAACAATAAGACGAGTCAGAAGCTTGAAAAACAGATATGTAGGAGATTGATGTATTGGCGTTTAACAAACAGTCACAATTCATAACACCAGAACTGCTGGATTACAGGTCTCATAACAAAATTTTGGAAGGACGCTCAGGCTGCTCATGGAAGCTAAAAAATGGCTAAATTTCATTGGCACATGTTTTCACTGCTCTTCAGTACGGACTTACCTGGATCACGTAAACATAATCCTAACGTGGCTGGTGTATGGGCCCTTGCGGTTTGACTGTTCAGGTTATAATAGCTAAGTGTCTTTTCGTCTTCCATTTCAGTTTGGTGCTTCAAAAGTAACTGGTCCTCAGGTTTAACTTTGAGAATTCCTTCAATCATTTTCTTCACCTCCAGGACGAGACTCGTTTCTTTGGCATTTAGGTGAATGTTTGTCTTCTTACGCCGAACAACCATATACACCTCCTACATAATAAGTCAAAATAATTCAGTACAACGGTCACGAAAGAGAGTAGAGTAAGAGAAGCAAAAACCACACAAACCAATTACCATTTGCCTAGGAACGCTCTCAGAGGCGTTAAATATGCCACCAAAACGCCTAGTTGAAATACCGCCGTTTGAACAATGTTCCAATGACAATAACCGGAGTAGTTGTAACACGCTAGTAAAATCAGATTTTGAACTCGAGTAGTACGCTATGAATCCTTGCTGTAAATGCCTAGCGCTCATTAACGCTACACGTTCAGTGACACAGACCGACCAAGTCGGTCCAAGAAAAGTGAAGCTCCTAGTTCGAGAACTGGGTCTGTCTAGGTCCACCCAGTATTGCAATATAATTCGACCCAAAAACTCAGGCGATCGCACATTTGACGCCACGTGGCGGCCATTGGGATGACACTTTGGTGAACACCTGTCCCCCTTCCATTGTCAATATCGCTGTCTTAGGCTAATCATGAACGAGTAGGACGTCTTAGCCTGGTAACTGTTCCACATGCTCCAAACCCACTGAAAGTCAAGACGTGATGGAAGCAATAATGGTAAGGAAGCCCCAGGCCTAGGCCATCTGCTGCTACCCGAAATCCACAGAAGCTGGCACTACAGGATAGGACACAGTAAATGGACGGAAGTACTGATTAACGATGGATGCGATAAAGTCATATATGATGCTGTCAATAACGTTATCACGAATTATTGTCACTGTTAGAAGCTAACTATCCAGAATATCAACGCGCGCTCCTTGAATACGACGTGCATTTTCCCGTCTAACAGGAAATATCCACTTTTGTGAATAATTCGTTTGGGAAACCTGATCTTCCTATCCGGCGAATTTTATTCAACCATTTCTTCTTCACCGAGCCTGTGTTTGGTACTTCCCACTGTCTCGAACTACTGCCCAAGCTTCAGGTGCTACTTCTGTAGCAACATCCCCCTCACTCTTTCAAATATACAGGACTTGTTGGTCTGTTACGTGATTGTTATGAAGCCGAATAACCCGAAAGTTACAGGTAAAGTCAAAAGCTTTTACTTATATACTTTATCTTTCTGTTCAGTGCTTTCTACTGTCTTTTGCCGTCAGTCTATTGGACAAAACTCCACTGTCTCTTATCACTTAATCATCGGTATTATTTTAGGAGTAAAATGACTATAGATTCTCACCCCAAGATAAGTAATGGGAGACCATACACCGTAGTCAACAGAGCTTCAGCCAAACTAAGCAAACAGGTGAATAGTATGACACCTATATCCACAGTAGGCCTTGAAACAAACAGGAAGGCCAATAAGAAACGTTCACGACGTCGCAAGACGACGAAAACGTTCCCCAAGAAGGCAGACGATTGCAAGGTCTGCAATTCTACTGTCGAACAAGCAGACTCTGCTTTCGAATGTAACTTTTGTAAGCAATGGGTACATTGTAGATGTGACACCGGAGTACCAAAGGTATATTACGATTTTATGCGTAAGAACCCATGCCCATGGTTCTGGTACATATGCCCAAGTTGCCGTCCTAATGCAGCCTCGTGTAGTTCCTCGAAAGCTACAGATGGCATAGAGATATCAGGAAAAAACGTGAAACGTTTTACTCCCACCAACTCAGAAAACAGCACAATTGCATGTAAATCGGGGATACCAAAATCCACACCGGTTATACTTGCAATTCCTGCCATAACTGCCCCAGACACAGAGGTTGAAGAACCAAGGGTACCTGTCGCTGGGAAAAGACCCTTACCGTCCACCAGTAAAAGTGGCCACAGCACTGCGACACATAATAATACCCAGTTGCACCAGACGAAACAAAACGGTCTTAAGGGGGATGACAAATGTGCGAGGACCGAACCTAAATCCACGGTCAGTCGATCAAACTGCGTTATCCTCTTTAATGTACCAGACTGTAGCAGTAGTCTGCTGGAAAACAGGGCCCTGTTTGATCAGGAACAGTGGTCCAACTTATGTAGCACACTGGGTCTGGACATCCAACCAGTAAAACTGTGCAGATTGTATAAGGGCACTGCTGCTCCTCAAGGCAAACCATCCCCACTGAGGGTAACACTAGGCTCTGCCGAAGATGCCGAAAAAGTTTTATTGACTTCCCAAGTCCTTTCTATAGGGAGGACCTGCAATATACGTGTTAGGCCAGATAGGCCATGGAAGGAAAGACAGATGGCGAGGGAGTCGCCAGAGCTTATTCCTTCTGCCTCCATGGTTGTTCACGGCATTCCCGAACTGGAAACCGGGAACGCTTGTGAGAAGCACTGTCACGATGTCCAGCAATGGAGATGGTTGGCATCCCAGATGGGTCTGGGAAGTTCAGGGGCTGTCTCTATTTTTAGACTGCCTCGACCCACTCACCTAATGTCAATTAACACCCCACGTCTGTTAGCTGTAAAGTTCAGCTCCCGAGACCACTTGACTACTGCTCTCCAGAGATGGTACGAGACCAAGGACAAGGTCAGCAGACACATTCGCTGCTGCGAGAGCCGGCCTCGTACCCAAAGGAGAGAGCAAAACGTTGTCATAGAGCATCCCCAACCCCTAGTCACAATACAGCGGTGCAGCACGGACGATGATAGCCAGTGTCATCCAAGTGCTCCGATTGAATCAGAAGAAAAAAACGCCAACAGGCCGGTTCCCGGGGAATCGGCCAACTAGTTCGTAGGATAACTCCTCAACCGACAGCCCACATCACGTCAACCACCCCCCAATACGGGGACGTGGTGAGACTGACTACCAGTTGCCTGTACAGTAATGTGAGAGGTCTAAGAGGCAAAATAGCTGAACTTAGATACCTACAATCACAGCTGAACTCCAAAATCATAATACTGACGGAAACCTGGCTAACCCCTACGGCGACAGACAGAGAAGTCAGTATAAATGATATGGTCCTTGTCAGGCGAGATAGTGATCTGAAAGAAGGAGGTGGAGTCGCCATATACGTCGACAAACAGCTCAGATGTGTCCAAGCAATGGACCCTCCCCTCATTGAGCTCCCTGACTCCATATGGTGCCATTTCACCGTTGGGTACTGTAAGTATCTAGTGGGCAGCATTTACAGATCACCTTCATGTGGAGCAGACCACAACCAGGTACTGCTGAATGCAATTTCAGCGACACATGACATGGGTTATGATCAAATTGTCATAGCCGGAGACTTCAATGCCCCATCTCTTAACTTGATGACGGGATGTGCCCAGGACAGATTTGATCGAAATCTGCTGCATACCATCACGGAGGCCGGATTCACCGAAAATGTCAGAATGGATACTAGATGGGGCCCAGATGGGAAGTCTTCCAGACTGGATTACGTGCTCACTAGTGACCAGCTACTAGTGGAAAACGTTCAGATCACGACTCCCATAGGTAGTAGTGACCACGCGGTCATAACATTCGACATAGTCCTCCGCGAGCGTTTACAGTGGGACAATACACAGCCCTATCTGTGTTATAACAAAGCCAATTACACCGAAATGCGAAGACTTTTGTCTGAAGCAAATTGGCCAAAAAATTGGACAGAGCTTACAGTAGAAGAACGCTGGAGAGTGGTAAAGGAGATCATTCACCAGGCGATCTCAGACACTGTTCCTTTGGTCACACCTAAAGCTAGAAAGCAACGTTCATGGCTAAAAAGGGGGACACAACGCCCTCTGCAGGCGAAGCGAAAAGCCTGGTTTGCGTGGCGAGTATCGAAGAGTCAACCCGAACATGAAGAGTACCTCGAACTCAGGAATCGGTGTAACATACGAGTCCGGAGTGATAGAAGGACATTTCAGAGAAACCTCGCCAATAAGCTTCTCGTGAACCCCAAAAGCCTATACAGGTTTATGTCTGAAAGAAAACCGACCAACCAGGGAGCTTGCAATATAGTGGGTTCTGATGGGAAATCTCTTACTAGTCTTGAAATGGCAGAGACATTCAGTCTAGCCTTTCACAGGCAACTGAACAGTAACGAGGATTTTACCCCCACAAAACATCAAGATTACAATGCAAGACCAACGTGCGAAAACCTGCTGGGTACATTTCAAATTACCCCGGCTATGGTACTCGTAAAATTGGGAAAGTTGGCTTCGGGAAAGTCTGCAGGTTGCGATGACATAAGACCATCCGTCCTGAAGCAGTGTTCAGAAAATCTCTGCCAACCCCTAAGTGATCTGTTTCAACACTCCTTTGATGTAGGGAAACTTCCATGTGAATGGAAACGAGCCATCCTATCCCCTATATTCAAGGGTGATGACCGGCAGAACGCGACCAGTTACAGACCAGTTGCGCTACTCCCAGTGATATCGAAGATATGAAGTCTCATTGACGACCACATGAGAAAATACTTCGACGGGACTAACCTACTCCATGAAGCACAGCACGGTTTCAGGAGGGGAAGATCCTGTGTGACGAATCTTCTACTAGCTTGGAACGATTGGACACTATCATGGGATGTAAAGGTACCAGTCCATATGATCTTTCTCGACTTTGCGAAAGCATTCGACACAGTTCACCATGGTCTGCTCCTTCACAAAATAAGCAAAGCGGGTGTTTCTGGAGCACTTCTTGCATGGCTGGAAGATTATTTAGGCGAGAGAGAATTCTGCACCAAAGTCAACCGCATCCGATCATCCTGGCACACCTCGGCATCAGGGGTTCCTCAGGGTTCTATCTTAGGGCCGTTGATGTTTTTGACTTTTATCAACGACCTGCCCTGTCAACTGAATTGCTCTGCGCTTCTCTACGCTGACGACGTAAAGATTTGGAGAGCAATAAACTCATCGGAAGACTCCGACAGATTGCAGGCTGACCTGCAAACGCTGGGAGACTGGACTCTGGCTAACGGAATGCCTTTCAACTTAAAGAAGTGCAAAGTAGTGCAACTTCATTCCGGCAGGTCACAGAGTGCAAATTACAACCTTGGTGGCCAGAACTTGAGTTGTGTGCCATCAGAACGCGATCTAGGCCTTATTTTAACAGAAAAGCTAGACAACAGTGTAAATTACACGAGGGACGTCGCCAAAGCTTACGCCACTTTACACTTTATGCATAGGCAGCTGGGAGCTCTTACTCCTGAACTATTCCTAACGTTGTATACGACATACGTGCGGCCACTCCTTGAGGTGCATAATATCATTGCTCCTCCGCTACTCAAAAGGGATGCTAACATGCTAGAAAGTGTCCAGAGACGAGCGACAAAATGGGTGATCGGCCTCCGCAACAAATCATATGAGGAAAGACTGAAGAAATTAAGTCTT